GCCCGCGGAGTCTGGGGCCGGGCAACAGAGGAGGGTGTGAGTTTATTTTTATGCTGCCTACGCCGCCCGCGGAGTCTGGGGCCGGGCAACAGAGGTGGTGTGAGTTGAGAATTTGTAAAAATATCAGAAAACTGGGCTGAGTGATCCGTTTAATTAATTAAAAAATTGCCGTTATGTTAGATCAGAAATTAAATACGCAAATTTTGATTGATATCTGATGTTGTTACCGATCAGCAATATTTGGTACATAGAGAAGTAGCAGGAGCTTATCATAAATAAATAAATATAAAAATATTTTTAAAAACCACGTTTTTCTGGTTTTTACAAAACTAAAAAACAGTGAAATAAAACAAATAAAACAACTTTTAAAAACCACGTTTTCTTAACGGACAAAAAAGAAAAACATTTACTCTTACATAACTTTACATAACATTTTACATGACTTAAATGTTATGTAAGAGTAAATGTTTTTCTTTTTTTGTCCGTTAAGAAAACGTGGTTTTTAAAAGTTGATTTATTTGTTTTATTTTCTACTTTTTAGTTAGCAATGTTAGCCATTCAAATCAATTTCCAGGGTTGGCAAGTGTAGATGTTCGTGAAAAAACTTAATTACAAACCATGAATTTTTAGTGTTTTTTTTTTCTTTTAAAATTTTTTTTTGTAATTGAAAAAATATTTTTAAATTATTATTTCTGATGATCAAATCTTGAATTGTTAGGCAGCATAAACATTAAACATGCATGCCAGATTTCAACTTACTAGGATGTTTAGAAGTGCTCTAAATTAAGGTTTGAATTTTTGATGACAGACGGACACGAAACGAAGTCAAGAAAAAATAAAATAAATAAAACAAACTTTTAAAAACCACGTTTTCTTAACGGACATAAAAAGAAAATCATTTACTCTTACATAACATTACATAACATTTTACGTAACTTAGATGTTATGTAGGAGTAAATGTTTTTCTTTTTTGTCCGTTAAGAAAACGTGGTTTTTAAAAGTTTGTTTTATTTATTTTTTTTATTTAAAAAAAATTAATTATTATTTCTGATGATCAAATCTTGAATTGTTAGGCAGCATGAACATGCATGCCAAATTTCAACTTACTAGGATATTTAGAAGAGCTCTAAATAAGGTCTGAATTTTTGACGACAGACACACACGGAACGAAGTCAAGAAAAACGTGGTAAAAAACTTTTAAAAACCACGTTTTCTTATCGGACAAAAAAGAAAAACATTTACTCTTACATAACATCTAAGTTATGTAAAATGTTATGTAATGTTATGTAAGAGTAAATGTTTTTCTTTTTTTTGTCCGTTAAGAAAACGTGTTTTTTATTAAGTTTTTTTTATTTATTTATTTTTTCACTATTTTTAGTTTTGTAAAAACCAGAAAAACATGGTTTTTAAAATTATTTTTATATATATTTATTTTCTACTTTCTAGTTAGCAATTTTAGCAATTCAAATCAATTTCCAGGGTAGGCAAGTGTGGATGTTCGAGAAAAAGCTCAATTCCAAACCGTGAATTTTTAGTGTTTTTTTCACTTATAAAATTATTTTTTTTTTTCAAAAAAAAATTTGTTTAAATTAATATTTCTGATGATCAAATCTTGAATTGTTAGGCAGCATAAGCATGCATGCCAAATTTCAACTTACTAGGATGTTTAGAAGTGCTCTAAATTAAGGTTTGAATTTTTGATGACAGACACACACGAAACGAAGTCAAGAAAAACGTGGTAAAAATAATATACATTGACAAGAAAATGAAAACTACGGGTAACTCTAAAATTACCGCATAAATTAAACGTAAACAGTAATTCCATGTGTAAAGAAGATAAATAATTGTCACATTAAATTGTCATATTAGAGTATAAAACAAATTGACCTCACCAGTGGAAGTATAATGTTAATATTACAATATAGTTTTAGATTGCACGTCTACAAAAAGAAAAATAAAGAAATAGTGATGAATAGAATGTTATCGTTATATCTTCTGAATTTTATCGGTTGTAGTTCTATGCATCAAATTGAATAAATAAGTTCCATGTAGAAAATTCCAAAATGACTGATTTAGCGGAAGAATAATCACCGAAACAATTCAAATAAAGGATAATACCTTCGCATAGGATGAACACAAATGCCACAAACAAAATTCACCTCTCCTATATGCGACACTGACGGCCTTTCTTATGAAGCTGGGAGCCCTTGGATCAAGCTGGGCGGAGAAAGGAGGTCCATGGCCAACACTCCAGTCGTCGAGGTCGGTCAGATTAAAAAAACTCGTGAAGCCTTCGATGTTTTTTCTGTGCACGTTCACGTACGTGGGACCCGTGAAGATGGGGGCGTTGTCGTTCACGTCATCGATTTCAACCTTCAATATATATAAAAGAAAATATTGATATAAAATTGACATATCGTGCATTATGAATGAAAAATAAATCTTATGTTGAAAATCCTCACTTTTCTTGAATTGGACAGCAGAAAAATTATCTAAATACAGTGAACTATTAATTGTGTTAGTGCTTGTGACGATTGAATTATATATTATTCGTAACAGCAAATATGTTTATCTTCTAAAGAAACTTTATATCCAGCGAAAATTAGGATTAAGTTTAATGCTGTATATGAAAAGTCAGTGTACATAATTTGGAAATTAATTCAGCCAATTGACTTGTTGGAGTTTTTGTGACCTTTTCTTGCAAATGCTCTTCTATTCTTAAAAGATAATTACTAATCTCTAATGTTTAACGTTCGAACAAAGTTCGTTAATTCACGCGGAACTAAGTCATATATACATGTATGTTGAAATAGTGAAGAGCAAGTGTTCAGTTGAAGAATTACTTGCTATTTACAGTCTTGTCACTTACGGTTTTGCCACTTACAGTCATGCCACTTGTAATGAAGTACTATGTAAATTTCCCACCACTGATTATATAAACTTTATCAGACCGCTAAGATTAAGCACGACCAGCTCTGACGTGGGTGATAAATTGATTGTGACCGTCAGATAAGCTGCTGATCCCGACTTGTGTACTGGTTCCTCTCTTATAAGATCTTGACTCCGAATCTAGGGTGAGCGGCGTGAAATAGTGGTGAGATGGGAAAACTTCGTGAAATATCGTGATTTTTGTGAATATAATGGTTTGTCATGTGTAGTTATTTACTTTTTTCTGTTGAATGATCGTACGTTTTTTCCGTTGTATCTGAATTGCTGTAATTTGCCGTTTTTAGAATACATTGAATTAAGCTTGTTTTGACTTGTCAATCCGTCCAGTCCAAGCTATTGCTAATCAAGCCAATGGGGAAGTATCTTTTAATTTCCGGTCATTGGTGGGCGTGACAATCAAGACCATGCGAACTTTTAAGGTGACGCAATTGGTCACTCGGAAAGTCAAGGCTAGTTAGTCACACCACTTATAGTCTTGCCACTTACGGTTTTGTCACTTACAGTCTTGCCATTTACAGTCTTGCCACTTACAGTCTTACCACTTACAGTTACAGTAGCGGACGACTGGCGTGGTGGCAGCCCGTGGTCAGTGGCATGAACCATTACATTACATTACAGTTTTGCCGCTCGCAGTCTTGCCATTACAGTCTTGCTACTTACAGTCTCACCACTTACAGTAACAGTAGCGGACGACTGGCGTGGCGGCACTCCGTGGTCAGTGGCATGAACCACTAGGCTGTGCTTGCTGATGGCCTCTCTGTCCACTAGGCCGATGGTCCTGATGGTCCCTGTGTG